CAGGATTTCATTATTTGTATCAACATTTCTGCCTGAGAAATGACACCCTGATATAGTTCTGTGATCTGTGAAACAGTTCTGTGAATCACTGAGGCATTGTGTGTTTGTGTGTTCTTTTTCTTTAGAATTTTCAAATAAACTTGAGGTGTTTTATGATTAATAGTGATGTTGTGCTTGTACTATTTTGGACACACTGTCCTCAGGCTCCAGCTTTATGTTTTATGTTGATAGTATTAAAACAAAGAAAACAATCTGAAGTTGTTGTTTTTAAGTTATATATACCATGATTTTACCGGTCCGGCCCACTTGGGAATAGATTTTCCTCCATGTGGCCCCTGAGCTAAAATGAGTTTGACACCCCTGGTCTAGCCCATATGATTTGTAGGGGTCCAGATTTTGCAGCTCTTTCAGAACATCAGCTGTCTGAATTTGTGTGAAGGAGATGCGGGGGGGGGGGGGGGGGGGCATTGGCAAGTTGCAGCGGAGGGTGCAGAGCTGGTGGCCGGGGTAGTGGTAGCCAGGTGGAAAGCTTGGCCAGCCGTAGCAAAATGCTTGTTGAAATTCTCGATTATTGTAGATTTATCGGTGGTGATAGTGTTTCCTAGCCTCAGTGCAGTGGGCAGCTGGGAGGAGGTGCTCTTATTCTCCATGGACTTTACAGTGTCCCAAAACTTTTTGGAGTTAGTGCTACAGGATGCAAATTTCTTTTTGAAAAAGCTAGCCTTTGCTTTCCTAACTGCTTGTGTATATTGGTTCCTAACTTCCCTGAAAAGTTGCATATCGCGGGGGCTAATGCAGTACGCCACAGGATGTTTTTGTGCTGGTCAAGGGCAGTCAAGTCTGAGGAGAACCAGGGCTATATCTGTTCTTAGTTCTGTATTTTTTGAATGGGGCATGTTTATTTAAGATTGAGAGGAAATTACTTTTAAAGAACAACCAGGCATCCTCTGCTGACGGAATGAGATCGATATCCATCCAGGATACCTGGGCCAGGTCAATTAGGAAGGCCTGCTCGCTAAAGTGTTTTAGGGAGCGTTTGACAGTGATGAGGGATGGTCGTTTGACCGCGGACCCGTTACGGACACAGGCAATAAGGCAGTGATCGCTGAGATCCTGGTTGAAGACAGCGGAGGTGTATTTAGAGGGTAAGTTAGTCAGGATGATATCTATGAGGGTGCCCATGTTTACGGATTTAGGTTTGTACCTGGTAGGTTCGTTGATAATTTGTGTGAGATTGAGGGCATCTAGTTTGGATTGTAGGATGGCCGGGGTGTTAAGCATATCCCAGTTTAGGTCACCAAGCAATATGAACTCTGAGGATAGATGGGGGGCAATCAATTCACATATGGTGTCCAGGGCACAGCTGGGGTCTGAGGGGGGTCTGTAGCAAGCGGCAACAGTGAGAGACTTATTTCTGGAAAGGTGGATTTTTAGAAGTAGAAGCTCAAACTGTTTGGGCACAGACCTGGATAGTATGATAGCCTGCAGAGCTCTATCTCTACAGTAGATTGCAACTCCACCCCCTTTGGCAGTTCTATCTAGATGGAAAATGTTGTAGTTGGGGATGGAAATTTCAGAATTTTCAGTGGCCTTCCTAAGCCAGGATTCAGACACTGCTAGAACATCAGGCTTGGCAGTGTGCTAACGCAGTGAATAACTCAAATTTAGGAAGGAGGCTTCTGATGTTAACGTGCAGAAAACCAAGGCTTTTACGGTTACAGAAGTCAACAAATGATAGCTCCTGGGGAGTAGGAGTGATACTGGGGGCTGCAGGGCCTGGGTTAGCCTCTACATCACCAGAGGAACAGAGGAGGACTAGAATAAGGATACGGCTAAAGGCTTTAAGAACTGGTCTTCTAGTGCGTTGGGTACAGAGAATAAAGGGGGCAGATTTCCAGGTGTTGTAGAAAAGATTCAGGGCATTATGTACAGACAAGAATATGAGTACAGTGGAGGTAAACCTAAGCGTTGGGTAACAATGAAAGAGATAGCATCACTGGAGGCACCGATTGAGCCGGTCTTGGCGTGTATAGGGGGTGGAACAAAGGAACTATTTGAGGCAGTTTGAGAGGGACTTGGGGTTCTACAGTGAAATTGTATAATAAGAACTAACTGGAACAGCAATAGGCAAGGCATATTGACATGGGAGAGAGGCACAAAGCAATCACAGGTGTTATTAGAGAGAGCTAAGACAACAACTGGTAATGGCGATAAAGTTTGGGCTGAGGCTAAACAGATAGACAGGACAGGGTACCGTGTAAAGGAACAGTCCAGCAGGCATCAGCTGTGCAGCTGAGTGATCATAAGGTCCAGTGAACAGCAATATGTTAGTCCGAGAGCAGTTCGAATTGGTGTTTACAGCACAGCGAGCAGGAAGCACGGTTGTTGTTTGCGTGTGCTAGCGGGCCGGGCTAGCAGATGGATCTTCGTGGTCGTCGCAACGGGAAGCCTGTTGAAACCACAGACAATTATGTCGGCGGATCAGTCGTGATGGATCGGCGGGGCTCCGTGTCGACTCTAGGAGGTCCCGTCCGGTTGACAGAGAGGTAGATAGCTGGGAGATGTGCCTGACTCAAGGCTAGCTCAAGGCTGATTAGCCAACAACAACGTCTATTTGGTTGCAGCTAGCTAGTTGCGATTATCCAGTGTTAAAGGTCCAGTGATTCAGTGATTCCGGCAGAAAATCCGATAGGTTCTGGGTCGATAACGCGCTGTGCAGACAGTGCAGACTGGCCGATAATAGTCCAGGATAGAGCTGGCTGGTAGGTAGTGCAGGCCACGGACAATGGTGAAAAACCGCTAACGGTGGCTAGTAGCTAGTTAGCTGGCTACTCCCGTCCGGTAGACAGAGAGGTAGATAGCCGGGATATGGGCTTGCTCGAGGCTAACTGGTGCTTGCTTCGGGGGCAGTGGTGATTAGCCTACAGCAACATCCATTCGACCGGTTGCGGCTAGCTAGTTGCGATCCGGTGTTAAGGTCCAGTGATTCAGTTATTCCGGCAGAAAATCCGATGTTCTGGGTGAAAACTGCTAACGGTGGCTAATAGCAAGTAGCTAGTTAGCTAGTTGGCTAGTTTCAACTGGAGATTCTAGATAACAGGTGAGTAAATAATAGAATCCGTTCCACATTGAGTGAGGCGGGTTGCAGGAAAGTATATTTAGTAGAAGGATGAAAAGTGTGATAGGGAAATATATACGTAAAATACAAAAAAATACAAAAAAAAACAGGCTATTTACACGGACACACAAGAGAACACGACCGCACTGCTCCGCCATCTTGGTACGATGTAGATTTAATTCTAAGTCACAGCCTATATGTGCAATTTATAGACTATAATTATTTAATACAACTAAATGTTGTTTAAATGCTGAGGGCTTTATGTCCCTACCAACCTACTGTGTCGCACTCGCAAATGCTTCACAATGTACTTCTTTGTAGGCTAGAGCCTTGTGGGAAAAAAATCGTCCTACCTCATCTTAAACAGCTCCGACCGCCACTGGTTCCAACATCTAGTGGAAAGGCTTCCCAGAGGAGTGGAGGCTGTTATAGCAGCAAAGGGGGGACCAACTCCATATTAATGCCCATGATTTTGGAATGAGATGTTCGACGAGCAGGTGTCCACATACTTTTGGTCATGTAGTGTAAACGTTAGCTGGTGCTAACATTACACATCGACCTCCTGCGTGTCATGATGAGCAGTATAACTAACCAACTAACATATCTAATGTAATTCCCAAAGTCAACATTATTTTAGATATGTGTACGAATATAGCTACTATTAGAAGTTTAGACAATATTTACAGTAAAGCATTGCTGTCTGTGCTCGAGCTACCGTCCCATTTCATTCACTAGCGAGCTAACGTTAACCATTCTATGCATGGAAATTAGCCAGCGAGCTAGCTAAATTACACAACTACCACACATGGAAGCTGACAGGTAGCTACAATAAACAAGATAATTCAGTCGCAAATAAAACGTTGGCTGCTACGTTTTTGTTGTTAGAAATTACTGTACCTTCGTTTCAATGAAGACACATCCAACTTCAGAGCAGCAGCCGACAGCCGTGACCAAAGGATGGAGAAAAATCTAACTTCCTGCCACCTGCTGCATCGGGAATAGCACAATGTAGCACTTCCTCCCCTTAGAGAAATCATGGAAAATTAGGTGAGATTTTGCCCTGAAAATAGTAGATAAAATGATGTGGTATTTCATGACATTTCAGATTAGAAACACATTTTTTGCGTTCAGATACAACTTCAGCACACAAAAAAAACGGAATGGCTTGTCTACACTAGAGGGGGACATTCTGTTTAGCAATTGCCATAATCTCCCTGCCTGGGACAACTAGGCCTATGTGTTTAGGGCGGTTTACTTGTTGCTCCCGGCCTGTTGCATTTAGGTATTTCGCATATGCCTATGGAAAATAATAATTATGTGTAGACAAATACACTGCTGTACATTCTATCATTTTCAATGAGGCCTACTAGTTATAGCAAACATATCTGCTTATGTCATGACGTGCCAGGCAGTGCTGGCTGGCTGGGCTGGCTGAGTGCAAGCCTAGACTACAGCAGACCAAGGAGAGATGATGGCTTTTTTAGTTAATCATTGATCGACTGAATCAGCCCCCTGTCCTCTGCAAATATGATAAATGAATACCTAGGCAATCACCAGTGTGACGTCGTTCTTAAACCACAGCACAGGTTTAATTGACTCTGGAAGGTAGTATCAGAGTAAGGTCCGGGGAGAGACTAGAGAACTGCACTTTACTTTTTCTATTACAAGAAAATACTTTTTATTCTCTTATTCCAAGAGAAAATGGCAAAGGAAAATGTTTGACCTTGCAGTATGGACAGTTTCCTTGTGGATTTTATTTGTGAGGATAGGATACTTCCCTCCAGAAGACAATGTGTACATTTTCTAACACATGCATTTACATTTTTAATTTAAACTATTTTGCATTTGTTTTCTTTTACTTTCTTTTTCTTTTGCATTTAACATGCCTATGAAACGGAATACAGGAAGCCCGATCCAGGATGGACAATTTCTTAATGTTCATCCACCAACCATTACATCCTGCGATGCCTCTGAGGAGCTCAAGCACACCACTTTTTCTAACGAGAAATTACGCTGTGATTTCAATGGACATTCACTCTCAAAGTTTGACGAGGAAGGTGATTTGGGAATTAAATCAGGTGAGGAATAATGTCGGATTAATAGACCTACACATAGGCTGAGAGGTTCCCTCTTCCCCCAAGAGTCATACAATTATAACCTCCAAAACAAGAGCCCTAATTGTTGATGTCAGCTATTACAGTTTGTGCTCCATTCAATTGTAGGTTATTTTTTATTGAAATATGCCTGCACCAAAATATACTTATTTCATTGTTTGTTGGGTAGGCTAGAATAAAATAATGTTTACCACATGAAAACAATCTACTCAATCTGACCCAGTTGACCAAAAATAACATTTTCTCTGTTCTGTTCACTTTGATGAGTCTTGAAAATCCTGTCTAGGGAGTACTTATTTCTAATTGTATGGTTCATTTAGCCACCTACCCATCTGGAAACGTGTCATGGCCCTGAACTACTCAAATAGATATTTCACCTCATTACTGTTTTCTCCCCCAAAACCCTGTCAGACGCAGATGACGGCAATGAGACCCCATCTTCTGAGGAGGACCAGGACCTCCTTGAGTATTCCAAACATTTGGCTTTCAACCAGACGACCACAAGGAAAAGCATCACTCAGATAATCAAGGACAAGAAGAAACAGACTCAGTTGACTCTTCAATGGTAGTGTTCCAAAGTCACAACCTATAGAAATCTATAATATGGCTTGTGTTGTGATGCACTTGTATAATAACAAGCCTTCTTACAAATGTTAATGTTTCTTTTCTTGTTGGTGATTGATTTTACATGGATTTCTGTGACTGCTTGTTCCCTAGGCTGGAGGAAAACTACATTGTTTGTGAAGGGGTTTGTCTGCCACGTTGTATCCTGTACGCTCACTACCTAGACTTCTGCAGGAAGGAGAAACTGGATCCAGCCTGTGCTGCTACATTTGGCAAGGTGAGATGAGTAATGTCTGTAGTTGAGGTGGTGGGCTGAAGTCTGGATGGGTCGTAGTTTGTGGAAGATGTAAGTAAGTACAACATAGTAATAATGGTGGTGTAAAAATGGTATTATGTTTTTTGTATCGTTCTCTGTGCATATTAGACAATTCGGCAGAAATTTCCACTTCTTACAACAAGAAGACTTGGGACCCGAGGTCATTCAAAGTAAGATATAGTGGGAAATATTATTTTCAAACAGATGATCTGATCTGTCTCAATATAAAATGTTAAATTTTGTTGATATTTGACAGATATCATTATTACGGGATTGGCATCAAAGAGAGCAGTGCCTATTATAACTTGGTGTACTCAGGAAAAGGCTTGACGAGGTAAGATCATTTACAGGTTTTGCTCTGTAGCGTTATTGTGATCAATCTGTAATGTTCTTTATAGAAAGTGATCAGCCAGTTCCTAGGCTAGTTACTCAACCATAAATACAATGTTTGTAAATTTGTGATAGTATGGGATTTAATGTCAATCTGATGTATTATTTGATTGTAGATTTTCAGGGAGCAAACTAAAGAATGAGGTAAGATTTTTATGAATAAACAGTCTCTAGCAAATACATAAATGACAAAGAACATATGATTTAATTGTTTTCATTTTTATGTAAAATATTACAGACATGAATCATGTTTTCTAATACATTCAAACTGTAGTCAAGACTACAAGGTCAAAATATTAATACAGTTTGGTATTCCTCTATTTAATAGGGAGGGTTCACTCGGAAATACTCCCTCAGTTCCAAAACAGGAACATTGCTTCCAGAATTCCCAAGTCCACAGCATCTAGTGCTTCAAGGTTTCGTCTCTAAAGAAAAGGTTTGTTGTATTATTTTAATCAGTACTTCAACTTTCTTTGCCATCAAGATTTGCTGATTACATACAGTAGAGTATCCTCTGTGAAAACACCTGTAACTATTATTAATGATCTTTGCATTATGTCCAATAGGTGGACACGCTCATCGTGATGTACAAAACACATTGTCAGTGCATCCTGGACAATGCCATCAATGTCAACTTTGAAGAGGTATTCTATACCAAATCCAGACATAAGATGTTGTAGCCTCTTTTGACAAATTGTCCCCTGACTCTCTATTAACTATGTTTCAGATACAGAATTTCCTGCTGCATTTCTGGCAAGGAATGCCCGACCACCTCTTACCCCTGCTGGAGAACCCCATTATCGTGGACATCTTCTGTGTGTGTGACTCTATACTCTATAAGGTGGGTGTTTTTCCAGAATCATAGAGCAGCATCCTTAGTTGTTGGAGGACTCCTACCTCAACTGGACAGGTTGTACTATCCATTTGGGGTTTTTCAGGTTCTGACAGATGTCCTGATCCCTGCTACGATGCAGGAGATGCCTGAAAGGTAGAGTATTTTTATCTTTCATCATTTGTATTTTTCTCATCTAAACACCAGATTTGCAGTAAGGTTTATACTGTATGAAATTAACATTAATAAGATACCGCCGTCTCTCCAGGTGACGTATTGTTGTGTATAAAGATAATCCTGTTCGCAGTCTCCTGGCTGACATCCGTAACTTTGCCAAGCACTGGGAACACTGGATGGTGTCTTCTCTGGAAAACCTCCCAGAATGCCTCTCAGAGAAGAAGCTCCAGATCGCACGCAGATTTGTGTCCTCTCTAAAGCGTCAGACCTCCTTCTTACACCTTGCCCAGGTAAAGCACTGATTACAGCACGGGAGGAATATAAATATAATTGTGTTAACTTTACAACAACATACAGTGAGGGAAAAAAGTATTTGATCCCCTGCTGATTTTGTACGTTTGCCCACTGACAAAGAAATTATCAGTCTATAATTTTAATGGTAGGTTTATTTGAACAGTGAGAGACAAAAAAATAAAAATCCAGAAAAACGCATGTCAAAAATGTTATAAATTGATTTGCATTTTAATGAGGGAAATAAGTATTTGACCCCCTCTTAATCAGAAAGATTTCTGGCTCCCAGGTGTCTTTTATACAGGTAACACGCTGAGATTAGGAGCACACTCTTAAAGGGAGTGCTCCTAATCTCAGCTTGTTACCTGTATAAAAGACACCTGTCCACAGAAGCAATCAATCAATCAGATTCCAAACTCTCCACCATGGCCAAGACCAAAGAGCTCGCCAAGGATGTCAGGGACAAGATTGTAGACCTACACAAGGCTGGAATGGGCTACAAGACCATCGCCAAGCAGCTTGGTGAGAAGGTGACAACAGTTGGTGCGATTATTCGCAAATGGAAGAAACACAAAATAATGTCAATCTCCCTCGGCCTGGGGCTCCATGCAAGATCTCACCTCGTGGAGTTGCAATGATCATGAGAACGGTGAGGAATCAGCCCAGAACTACACGGGAGGATCTTGTCAATGATCTCAAGGCAGCTGTGACCATAGTCACCAAGAAAACAATTGGTAACACACTACGCCATGAAGGACTGAAATCCTACAGCGCTCGCAAGGTCCCCCTGCTCAAGAAAGCACATATACATGCCCGTCTGAAGTTTGCCATTGAACATCTGAATGATTCAGAGGAGAACTGGGTGAAAGTGTTGTGGTCAGATGAGACCAACATGGAGCTCTTTGGCATCAACTCAACTCGCCGTGTTTGGAGGAGGAGGAATGCTGCCTATGACCCCAAGAACACCATCCCCACCGTCAAACATGGAGGTGGAAACATTATGCTTTGGGGGTGTTTTTCTGCTAAGGGGACAGGACAACTTCACCGCATCAAAGGGACGCTGGACGGGGCCATGTACCGTCAAATCTTGGGTGAGAACCTCCTTCCCTCAGCCAGGGCATTGAAAATGGGTCGTGGATGGGTATTCCAGCATGACAATGACCCAAAACACACGGCCAAGGCAACAAAGGAGTGGCTCAAGAAGAGGCACATTAAGGTCCTGGAGTGGCCTAGCCAGTCTCCAGACCTTAATCCCATAGAAAATCTGTGGAGGGAGCTGAAGGTTCGAGTTGCCAAACGTCAGCCTCGAAACCTTAATGACTTGGAGAAGATCTACAAAGAGGAGTGGGACAAAATCCCTCCTGAGATGTGTGAAAACCTGGTGGCCACCAAGTACGTCTCACCTCTATGATTGCCAACAAGGGTTTTGCCACCAAGTACTAAGTCATGTTTTGCAGAGGGGTCAAATACTTATTTCCCTCATTAAAATGCAAATCAATTTATAACATTTTTGACATGCATTTTTCTGGATTTTTTTGTTGTTATTCTGTCTCTCACTGTTCAAATAAACCTACCATTAACATTATAGACTGATCATTTCTTTTTCAGTGGGCAAACGTACAAAATCAGCAGGGAATCAAATACTTTTTTCCCTCACTGTATTTAAAAGTATATAAAGTATATCTATATAGCATATCTTATTATGACTCTAAGAAATTGAAATTGCATATATAAACTGAAAGTCCTAGGGCTTGATTCAATCTGTAGCACTGAATATCAGCGTTACAGCGTGATTGAAATTTTAAGGCAATGTTTCCGCGTTTGTGGAGACTGCAATTACGGTAAACGCTGCATATGTCGACTCATTCTGAAATTACCTTTAAATTTCAAGCGCGCTAAACCGCTGAAATTCGACGATACAGATTGAATCCAACCCCTAATTTTTTTTTTTTTAACAATTTATTTTCTTACAACAGATTGCAAGACCAGCTTTGTTTGACCAGAATGTGGTGAACTCCATGGTGGTGGATATAGATAAAGTGGATTTGAACAGCATAGGGTCACAAGCCCTTCTCGCCATCTCAAGTGGTGACCAAGACTCTGACCTCTACTCTGAATGTGAGTAGAACATTTCCATTGTACATGGCAAACACTGCCAGGTTAATTCCTGTAAACAATTCATTTTCTTTCTCGCCATGTTTGCTAGATGACTCAATAACAGTGTTCCAAGAGCTGAAAGACCTACTGAAGAAGAATGCCACTGTGGAATCCTTTATCGAGTGGCTGGACACTGTTGTGGAGCAGAAGGTCATTAAGGTACGTTGTCCCCATTTCAAATCTAAGATTGGGGTTGTCAGATTGGATGTTGACATCTAATCTGTTTCTTTCTCTCTCCAGCCCGGGAAGCAGAACGGACGGTCCATAAAGAAGAGAGCTCAGGACTTCCTCCTCAAGTGGAGTTTCTTTGGAGCACGCGTTATGCACAACCTCACGTTGAACAACGCCACCAGTTTTTGTAAGAATTTACTACATCCCTCTAACAGTTCCTCTGGTAGCCTGTAAATCCATGTAACAACTAGAACATGGAGGAAATGCTGTAAACTACTCTATTTGTATTTAATTTAACCTTTTAGTTAAATTCAGACTGCCATTACTACTGAGTCACTACGTCAGACGCAAACACATAGATCTTTTCGGCCGGCTCTGAACAGAATGCTACAATGAGCCATAAATTATAATGGCCTGGCACCAGGTAAAGAAATTATTATCTCTCGGTCGCGTGAACTGTGTTTGAAGACAGACCTCTCCCATGCACCTTCCTCACCCCCATTTGACGGCTCTATCACCAAACTCAAGTCAAATAGATTGGGGGACAATCACATGACCCTACAAGTCAAACAGTAGGCCTGGTGAGATGAAAGGTGAAAGCAGATCTCTGGGGCTGGTCAGGTCAAACCCTCAGCACCTGCAAATTGGTGCACAGAATAGCTTTTGGAGCCTTGTCACAGTTTGTAAGGTGAAGGCTGTTAGAGATTGGCTGAAGATTATGTCATGATAGTGACAATGAAACTAGATTTGATTTCTGGTGGGGAACTAGGACAGTAAGAGATGTGTTTTTTTGTCCCAGGTTCGTTCCATCTAATCCGCATGCTGCTGGATGAGTATATCCTACTGGCTATTGAGACACAATTCAACAACGACAAAGAACAAGACCTCCAGAATCTCCTAGATAAATACATGGGAAATGCAGGCAAGCAATTATATAACATACATAGACTATCTAATTATACGTACAACTCTGATTGTTCTTTTTCATTATTAAGTTGTTATTGAATTTCAAATTAAGACTATCAGTTTTTATGGAGCAGTATGGAGAAATGATGGAGGATGTAGGATCATTGAGGTGCATTGTTATGATTATTTTCAGATGCCAGCAAGGCGGCATTCAATGCCTCCCCCAGCTCTTGTTTCCTGGCCAACCGTAACAAGCCCAGCGCGGTGTCCGGTGATCTGTCTGTGAAGAATGAGTCCCTCTCAGAACACGCATACATGACCCTGTCAGCCAATCATCAGCATGCGCTGGGAGCAAACATGGCCATCTACCAGGGCTCTGAAACCGATGGATTCTCCCTATCAGGTAAAAATATGTTTTTTAGGGTGACATGACTCCTTTTCTTACTTGTTCCTGAATTTAATTTGCCCCATTGTATGTTAGCTTTATTCATACTTTCATAGGTTTAACATAAAACTGCTTATTCGTAGTAAAGGTTCCTATTGTGTTGTCTAAAATCTTGGTCACTTATCTCTGTGCCCCCAGGACAAATAGACTTTTCCCAAAACAGTGGCCCTCTGATGACCCCTCCCATCTCCCCAGCCATGGTGAACAGGGGCAGTGTCATCAACCAGGGCCCCATGACCATCAGACCCCAGAGCACCTGCACCACCATCCAGCCCCACATCTCCTGCCAAGCCTTCCCAAACACCATGTACCAGAGCCTCCCTCCCAGCAGCCCCAGCTACTACCCCATCACCTCCAACTACCAGGATGTGTTCAGGCCCCAGACACACGCCCAGGCCCCGGCCTACCACACCCACTCCGACAGCAGCCACTACCCGTCCTTCAGTGAGCAGCACCTGGCCAAAGATTACTTCAACAGCAGCTGTGCAGTGTCCCCCTACAGCTCCAGACACTCCTCCAATTACAGCACAGCCCCTGATCCTGGGATGGAGACTCAGGGAGTTGAGCTACTGGACTCTGGAGGATACAACTTTGTTGGGAGTGGGTTAAACAGTAGTGGCTGTCAGGAGTCTGCCTACTCAGCAGCAGGACACAATGGTATGGATGACTACACCTATGTTTTCTCCATTGAATTATCAGAAAATGGGCCCTGAGTTTTTCTAGACCACGTGGCCTCACTAGTCAGTTTATCCTGGTTAGATCACATGGTCACATCACCTGGTCAGAAATAATTTAGGGCCCTAACAATAAGTATTATCGTAAATAAAAAGATTAATGCGTATTCTACTAATAGAGGAACCTCTCTGTTTTTCAGGGTACTATGGAAATAGTGGCTACCTGGATAGCCAGAGGCTGGGTTCCATGATAAACCAGCATGTGTCAGTTATCAGCAGTGTGAGCAGTATTCGCTCAGTCTCAGCGTATGGTGAAGTACACGACCCCCTCAACATCCTGGATGACACGGGCAGAAAGACGGTTGGGCCTTACTACACTGAGTCTGACTCACTGGGCTCCTGCACACCTGGAGGTCAGTGACAAATGATGGATTGATAGGGAACTCCAATGTTCCACTACCAATGTGTAGCAATGGCCTGGGTGAAACAATGAATGCAAGACAAGAATGGTTGTAGTAAATGACAGAAAATGTTTTGTTTTTTTGAAGATATTATTTTGTGGTTTTGTCTCTGCTGTAGCTCCTCCCCTCCCCTCCTCGGTCTCCGCACCCTGCATGTACGGAGGTCCTGCCCAGTTCCACTCCCAGGATGCACTGCTTCCTCACCGGGCACCATCTGCGGTACGGGACATGATGTCATCGCTGCCTCCCATCAACACTGTGTTCATGGGGTCTAGTGGAGGAGGAACGTGTGCCGTGACCTTCCCTCCAACCACCAACACTCCTCAAGGTCCTCCCACACCACTCAGTCACTGTAAGCAGTGACTCAGAACACAGACAGAAATATGCTCAGTGTATCTCTCTTATGTAGCCTTAGTGTTGGGGAAGCTACTCTGAAAATATAGTTTACCAAGCTACCAATTACTTCACACTGGAAGAAGTTAAGCTACACTAAAACTACCCTTAAGAAAACTATAGTTTTAAATACTTAACTAAAGTTACTTTCAAAAAGTAGTTCACTACATCCAAACTACTTTGTGATAAATAATATTTTCTAAATCTGAAATATCATAGACTATAAATTGCTAGAACAGATCACTCTGGAGTCAGATGTTAACAGAACGTTTATTTTAGCCTATTAAACACCAAAACTATGTTTCAAGTGAGAATTAGGAAGATGCCAAAAAAAGAAAGGAAACTCTTGCTTACTTCACCCATATTAACTACTAAAAACACTACCAAGATTATAATTTAGTTCAACTACCACCAAGCTACTGCTAAATGTAGTTAAATTACTAGTTGATCTACATATAGTTCACTACTCCCCAACACTGTGTAGCCAATATATATTTTGTACACTTATGAAGGCCTCAGCTGTTCAATGTGCAGTCAAATATTTTATTGAACTGAATGAATGAATAATTTGCAATTCAACCATTTTAATATAATTCCATCTGTTATTCTTAATGTGGTCAGAAGAGACTTTGTCATACTTTGTAAGTTAACATGTAAATAAATACCTGTAGAATAAAGCCAGTAATGTAAAATTAGAAAATGTTGGAGGCACCATCAGTCAAACCTGCAAGATAGGTTTGATTGATTATGACAAGTTCAAAAAATACCATGTTATTTATTTTAGTTGCCTTTATAGCCTATTACGTTGTAATATTAATGTCGGAAATGTAAACTTGTACTTATCTGTAGATGGCCGAATGAGAGGTAGGAACTTAGAAATTATTGTTGTTTTCAATACAAATGTATTAAACTACATTAACTTATTGTATAACTAACACATCAACATGTTGAGAGAGAGAGGGAGAAAGGGGCACTTTGTTAGGTAGCTTTCATGTGCTCCTTCAGCAGTTTGCCTGGTCGTCAATACATCCAAAAGAACACTCTTTCTTATCTCTCAATTCAAAGCCCCAGTGTCAAAACTCTGAATACACTGTCCTTTAATTGGTAAACTGGACCCACACCAGGCGAGGAAAGAAAGATTACAGTCCGGAAACACAATTGTAGAAGCAGCGGATCAAAATTGAGCTTTATCTGTGATTATGTGATTTCACCATTGTACAATGGAGGGAGATATGGTCGGATAAAGGTGTTGACCAGAAACAAGAACCAACAGACATGTTTGACCAACAGCAGGATCAAGCTGTTTATACATAGTGACCCTTTAGAGAAACAGAGATTGTTTTATTCTTCCGCAGGTTGTCTAAATTGAGCTTTGTTAGTCTTTGAGCAGATGGAAGCTAATAAAACCATAATCAGTAACATTAGATTGACCAGGACATTTGTGTGGCGAAATGATATCATTTCAAAGCGATACACTTTATTTAAATGTATAGAGTTGATACATACAGTCGCAGGCTATGGATTAATGTAGAGTATTTAGCATTTGTTTCCAGAACATGAATAAACAAAGCAAAATGAATGATAACATTACCCACCTATCAGCCTTATCCTTTATCTACTCAAGGGGAAAATCCATTTCACCCCATGGACGGGAACAGATGGCTTGAAATGTAATGATTACAAAATCCCGACGTTAACACAATTTAATTACAAAGTCAATAATGCCTCCAACAGTTGCAGGGCCTTTAGTGTAAAAACAGCAGAAGGCTGAACGCAAACTTTGGGACAATGTTTAACCAGAACTTTGCATTAGGCGGTGAGTCTCCATATGTAGCCCAGGTGAGCCAAAGATCGAGTGATCCAGTGATGTGTAAGGCACACCAGGCATCACTCTGAGTCTGATGGCTTTACTGTTGTACGTCAGAGGATCAAGTCTTCACACTCCTCTAACATAACATCATAGTACCCATAGTCCCCTAGTCACCTCAGATATCATTTTGTATGGAATTAGTTTTTGTGACTTTATACCTCTACAGCTTTTCACAATTATTATATTAATACAGTCAAATCAAATTTCTGTTTTGCTGACTTTATCCAGACAGTTTGTATTTTATCATGGTACAACAAAAGCAAGCTTATTTCTACAGGATATTCATTTAAAAAGGTGTCTGACTAGGATGTATTCTAAACATAATCTCCGTCCTAGTCCAGTTCACCTCTATATTCTGCCTTCAATGCAGAAGAGTGATTATTATGTACTTTTATTATGTACTTTTATATTATTTTTACTCATACCTTCCCAGACACACAAGCTCAGCAAAGTGATTGTTTGAGACAAGGCTATCAGCAATAAAGGATAAACAACGGCCATACAGAAGGCTCTCTACAGCCTAGAAGCTGCCTTTTTATCACAATATCAACTGTACAGGTAGCATTAATACGTTCTAGCCACTCGAGATGTCAGTGTTGGGAAGAACAGTGAGCGGACACCTTTAGCAACATTGTAATGTAGGAGGTTAGAGTAGAACGCGCTATGGGCCTCTGACTGACATCTTGTCTTTGTGTTGTGTCGTAATGAGTGTGGGTCTGTAGTGACTACATAGCACACGACCGCCAACTGGAGCCTCTGTTAAGATAATATTCAGAGGTGTCCTGTACTGCCAATGATTAAGCTTTTGTTGACTGGGATCATTCACAAATCTGCATTTGCAGCTAAACACAAAACATTCATTTCATATATTTCTACCTGATACTCCTTTTTCGCTATTAGGAAAAACAAAATAATCTTTCATTCAAGAAGATCTCTGCCACTGTCTTATTCCCCTGTGTGTGAAAATGATGATGTGGTGTTTGTCTTGAATGATGAATCTCCTTAAGGAGTTATGTGTAGGTCCAGAAGTGTCCATATGATGGCAGTAAAGTGTAAAAAATACCCCTATCACATCCATATCTGTTTTCATTGTCCCCACTGTAAATCTGATATTACTAAACTGTGTGCTGTATCTGGATAAACAGAGGTTAAATAGGCATGCCAACCAACAGCTTTGTTAACATGTTACTAAATAACAGGTGGAAAAATATCTGCTGTACTTTATAGATTTCATGTACAGCAAACAATTTAGCTCAGTATTTACAACTGTTGAAAATGATCACATTTCAGATATTGATTTCCAAATATCTTATCAATATTTTACTATCACTATAACCAAATAAATCAAATATATCACACTTACTATAAATCCAAAAACAGTTACGTTGTTCTATCTTGATGTGATTGTTTGATTATACACACCTGCTCTTTCCATGACATAGACTGACCACGTGACTCCAGGTGAAAGCGATGATCCCTTATTGATGTCACCTGTTAAATCCACTTCAATCAGTGTAGATGAAGGGGAGGAGACAAGTTAAAGAAGGATTTTAAGCCTTGAGACATGGATTGTGTATGTGTGCCATTCAGAGGGTGAAGAAAAAATATTTAAGTGCCTTTGAACGGGGTATGGTAGTATGTGCCAGAGGCACCAGTTTGAGTGTGTCAAGAACTGCAACACTGCTGGGTTTTTCACGCTCAACAGTTGTATCAAGAATGGTCCACAACCCAAAGGACATCCAGCCAACTTGACATAACTGTGGGAAGCATTGGAGTCAACATGGGCCAGCATCCCTGTGGTATGCTTTCAACACCTTGTATTTCAACACCTCCATGCCCCGATGAACTGAGGCTGTTCTGAGGGCAAAAGGGGTGCAACTCAATATTGGGGAGGTGTTCCTAATGTTTTGTACACTCAGTGTATAATTACACTGAATGATGAACAAAGACACCATCAGTGATATTGATCGTCAGGGAGAGAAACTGGACTTCAAAGTCATCAGTTAAAAACCTGACCGATGTAGAGATAATCCTGGGATTTGATGTCTAATCCTCCTGTCACACTCTTCTTAGAGCCTTCCTCCCAAAGTCCCGGCCTGCTGTTAGTTTAAGTCATTATGGAGAACAACTCTAGGCCTCTGTCTCCTGTCTTACTCTCAAGGCCAGCTCTAGCCTTTTGGGGGCCCTAAGCGAGATTTGGTTGGGGGGCCGCCCCACCAAACGGGCATTTTTTTTGGGTGCCCCCCCTCTTTATGGCGGTGTCACAACTTCGGCCGAGGCTGCCTCCCCTCCTTGTTCGGGCAGGCATCAGCGTTCGTCGTCACCAGAGTACTAACCACTGCCGCCCCAATCATCATCACAATTGTCTTGTCTCGTTATCACACACACCTGGTTCTAATCCCCTAATTAGTCTGTGTATAAGTGTTCCCTCTGCCCCCTTGTCCTTGTGGGTGATTGTTTATTGTGGAGGTTAGTGAAGCTCGGTGGAGCTCGTGTATTTTGTATCGATGAGAGTGTTTTCCCGTGTGCCTTGTATTTTCCAGTGCACCTGTTTTGTGCCCTGGAGTGTGTTTGACGCATTTCTGCGTAAGCCTGTATTTTGCCGATTAAAGCCTGTTATTCTGTGATTTACCCTCCTGCGCCTGACTCTTTCAACACCACCTTATCACAGGCGGAGAGAAATGTACATTTTAAAGTTAATTTCCTGCAATTCTAAACATTTTGCATAGAGAAAATGTTGCAGTTTTAAATAAAGTTTTCTGTGGTTCTACACATCTTGCCATGGGGTGGAGAGAAAATTTTGCAATTTTATAACAAATGTCATGCAATTTTACTAATTTTGCCAGTTTTCCAAGTTAATTTCCTGCATTCTACCAATTTTGCCAAGGCTTATGTCATGTTAATAATGTCTGAGTGAGAGTGACAAAATCAAAGGGGGCCCCCTGGAGGTCAGGGCCCCTTAGCACGTGCCCAGTCGGTATTTGGCCATGATTACTGCAAGTTTAGATAGCTGGCTAGACTAACTTACCAATCAAAAAATGGTTAGCTGACATGACTAATTGAGTGACTGTCAGTGACTGACAAAACAAAAAAAACTGCT